GATCCTTGGAAAAGGGAAAATAATATTCCCTTCTGTTCTCTCCATTGGTTTTAATGCCCCTTTCGAATTCGCTATGAGAATCTGTCAGCTTGAAACTTGTGGGGTTTGTCTGCCAAAGTCCCTCTTCCCTATGACCATTTCTGAGCCTGCTGGGTTGAGGGTCTCTGGTAACGGTGTTTTATTGTTCTTTCTCTTGTTTTCAGAGCCTATTATTAAACCTGTGAAAACCAAAAAATTCTCACTGATGGAACAGACGTTACCGGTCACCGTTTATGAGATGGAGTAAGTAATAAGTAGGGGTTTTAAGCGTGTTTGTTGGCTCAAGCCATCTGTGCTGTGATTTCCTCACTTTTTGTTGTTTGCAGGCAAAGGTAGGGAGGCAGAGTGGTGTGTAGTACATGGAGGCAGAGTGGTGTGTAGTACCTGGAGGAGGCAGGTCTTGGAGGGCATTGGCTTTGTTTCTTACTGACACCAGGAACGGAACTGAGTGCAGCCCTTTCCCAGATTTTGAAGCAAAAACAAGAGGAAAACAGTACAAGGCTAACCATTTTACAGATATTTTCCCTCCACGGTATGCAGCACAATGCAGAGTTTTCTGAACCAGAATGTAAATTTTACCTCGACAGCTGATATAAAGCTTGATAATCAGAAATCCTTGTGGTGCAGATTTGCTGAAGGCAAGTTTTCTTGACTGGCTCAAGAAATATTTCTACGGTTGGTGTGTGGCACACCTCATATTGGGACATTTTGGGTTGATGCCAGTGAGCGTTGGCCTACTGCTGTCTCAAATTAGTTCCCATCTATCCTGGAAGAGTTTCTTGGGGGGGGATTTTTATGCTGCTGGTTGTATGCAAAGTCGTGTGTAGCTCAGCATAACGCTCCAGCTAAGCTGCACTTGATGGTGTCTGCTGGTTGTATCCCACAAAGCAGCTCCTGGGACACCAGAGTTGGCATGAAAACCTCCTCGTTTAAATTTAAATGAATTTAAAATTTGAGCTATAGTATCTCACGCAGCTTTGGTAAGGAATAAAAACAGTTGTTTACTTTCTCTATTAAAAATGCAATCTTAGCATCAACGTCTACGTTTTGTCAATGGGTGGAGGGGCTCTGTATCCTCGTGCGTATAATGCTTCTGTATGTTGCCTTCTATTCGAGGATGAAGAGATTGAGCTGTGTGAGTGTCTTGTTAGGCTCATCTTTCCATACGCCACTTCATGACTAGTCAGAGCTTTTTCCAATTTTTAATAGTTGTCTTCAAATGTAGATTGCAGAACTAGATGCAGGCTGAGTAGCAGCTCCCCGTGTGCCAAACAGACCGCAATAGGAGTGGTCCCTCTGCATATCATCAAGGATCCTGTTGTTTTCCGGCAGCAGAATTTCACTGGAATTTCTATTCAGTCGGTTGGTTACTTGGATGCTCAGGACCTTTTTGGAATGGCTGCTTCTCAGGGCTGTCCCCTGATACAGTCGGTGTGGCTGTGTTCGTTTGTCAGAGAGATTTTCGATATAGCCAGATAGGAACCAAAGAGCCTGCTGGGTCTTATTTTTCTAAGCAGTCCATTTTGCTCTTAGTCAATGACCTGTACTCTTCAGTATCTACCACTTTTCTGATCCCTGTGTTGTCTGCTTGTTCCATCTGTAATGAATTCCTCTGTCCTGTTGGTTGATCTAAATGATTACGAGGGGGGCAAGAGAAATTCCTTGTGGGCCTTAGCCTGAAACCTGCAAGCTTGGTATTGATTTCCCATTTAGCCTTATTTTAAGACCAATAAGCAAGCTTTTCATCAGTATTACTATTGATTTGGGGTTTTTTTTAGCTCTTAATCAAAATGTTGTATATTAAGAAGTCTAGTGCATCGGTGAAAATGAAATCTTTTTTAAAAGGAGATTATTTGACAGCACTTCTTTTCTGCAGACCCATAGCAATGGATACGGGTTTTCTAGCCTCCCATTCTTTTTTAGAGGAGTTGGTAATGTAGCATCTCAATGATATTTTGGCCAGGATCTATGCGGAAGTAACCGGCCCATCATTACCCTGCGCAGTTGCTGATTCAAAAAAGATTTAAATTCCGTTACCGTTTCCTTGAGTCCCTGGGAACATCCCTGGTTAAAGACCTGCAAATCAGAATGAATGGTCTGTGGAGCCCCGTGCCTTTTCAAACAGCGTGGGGTGCTTGTTATCCAGCTCTGTAATTTACTTGACTGCCTACCACTATTTGAGCGGAAGTATTGCATCATCTGAGTAGATAGATCTGACTTTTGCTCTAATACTGACTAGAAGAGAAGAAAAATATTCAGTAATATTCCATCGCTGGCAGTTTTACCAGCTCCATATCCTCCCGCCTACTGCCATCTGTCTAGGACTCCAACTGTCTTGTCCTCCCCATCTGGAAAGTGGATTCTTCCTCCGCAGGGCATTGCCAGAATGCAAGTTTGGAGAGGATTCGGGGGGCACCTTGGATAGAAAGTGTAGCTGAGATGGCACCTACTTTTCTTAGACACAGCAGAAGCGTCCCAACAGTCTTGTGTTTTGTTCCTCCAGTTTCCTGGCAGATCTGATGGACAACTCGGAGCTAATTCGAAATGTGACTCTGTGTGGGCACCTTCACCACGGCAAGGTAGTGTGAATATCCACCACGTAGAGCGGGTAGTAATAATGAGTTTGTGGCTTCCTTTTATGATTGCTCTTGACCTCTCGATCTCCGCAGCAGCAATCTCTTTTCGCTCCTCTTGCTAATGCAGTTATTTGTAGGTTTGTAGGTTTTCTCTCGGCCACATGGAAATAATAGCGCGTCCAACTTTCTCTGTAGTGCTGCTGGAGGGCTGGGATTGTATTTATCTGTCACTTCCTTTCTTTTGTGGTCTGGTATTTTTCAGACTTGTTTTGTTGACTGCCTGATAGAACAGACACACCCTGAAATTCGGAAGCGCTACGACCAGGATGTAAGTGAGCTTTTGGTGTATTCCTGCCCTGAGGAACAGGGATTGGCTTTTCCACTCGGAGGGAGCGTGACTGTACGTGGGGAAAGCGTGGTTTAGTGATTAGAACGTAGGATTGGGAAGCCAGAGCTTAGACCTAATTCTGTCTCTATCACTTGTTTGCCACCTTAACCATGTGTCAAGAGTTATTGTGTCCTTCTTCAAACACTAATATTTGACACCCAAAAGTGATATTCTGACTTTTATTTTGCCTTTGCAGCTTTGCTACACTGATATATTGTTCACAGAGCAAGAGGTGAGTGAGTCGTATAGAACGGGCAGTGATTTTTATCCAGTTGTCTCATGCTTTACTGACGCTTACTTACTGTAGGCAGTTTCCTCTTCCGTTTGAAGGTCTTTTTGTGCCTTACACGTTTTGATTATTTTCTTTATCAATAAAATGATTTGCTCCTCTTGTTTGCCTCAGTAAGATCCCTGGTCCAGCCTTCTTCCGTTTCCTGCGACCCTCATCTCCAGGGATGATTTTATTTATCTGAGATGAAAACCTGCGTAATGTTGAAAATCTATAGCAGTTATCCCAGCGTATGGGTAACTCTTCTTTGCTTTGAGAGAAAGAGGTGGAAGGGGTTTGCAGCAGTGGTGGATGAGGAGAAAAACTATGATTTCAAAATAAATATAGTTCTTCTTGGTTTCCTGTGATGGGAACTCTCAGCTGGGTGCTCTGATTCTGTGTGGTTGGGCATGAATGGGAATCTTATTTTGTCCTGCTCGCTAAATATTGTCATGACCAGAACAATCCTATGAAGCGTTTTTTTCTCTTTATCTTAATGCTCTACTTTATACCCTGTGTGATCAAATCTTATGCTTTGACGTATAAGTTGATAGCAGCAGAAGGGCGAAAGGACAGGAAAACATGCATATTCTGTCTCTGGTGTTGCATTTTATACTTCCTCAGCTGAAGCCAACTATGAATTGTGCAGTGGGAGCTCACCAGTCTGAGCCAGTAGGGATGGGGGAACTGGGCTGGATACTGCAGTGATCTGAAGTTGTTACTCCCTCCCTGGGAGTAACAGGATGTCCTGGATGGATGTTTACTTCTTTCCATCTTTCTGATTTTTCCTTGGTCATCTTTTACATGATGATTTTTTTTTTTTCTTTTAACTGATAATCCTGGTTTCCTGTCTTTCAGAGGGGAGTAGGGATCAAGAGCACACCAGTGACGATTGTTCTGCCAGACACCAAAGGAAAGTCTTTTCTCTTCAACGTCATCGACACCCCAGGTGATTGTGTAATCCCAAAAATCCTGTGTTGGGATGCACTTAGCTGAAGGCAGCTTGATGTGTGAAGCAGGTCCATGACCATGTGACTCAATATTTCCCTCATTAATAAACCTCTTTGGTCCTCTGGATAGTGGTATTGACAGGAGTAGAGCAGGAAAAACATGTTTAGCGGTGGTTAATGAGGGCCTTCAAAGAGCTTTTGTGTTGGATTGTGGTGGGATTGTGTGGCATTGGCTCTCAGAAGAACGAAAAAAGAATCTATACCCTGAAAGCTCCCTGATTCATTTGGAAATGTCGCTTAGGCACACTGAAACCCCGGGAAGCTTTCTTTTACAGATGGAAACCTGTGTTTTGTTTTGTGTG